ACGTGTGTATGCAAGTCGTTGACTGCTACACGTAGTCGCGCAAGCTCTTTTCAAACGGCCCCCCCCCTTCCTTTCTACCTTCTGTCTTTCTCTCTATTTCTCAAGTCCTTATACGCCTCGCGGGTTTGTAAGGCACGCGCACGCCCGCCGCCGTCGACGCTTCTGCCGCTGCTGCTCGCGATGCTCGACTACCGTTGTGTACGCGTACTTGTTCTTGCATGGGAAATTAGAGAGCGTCTGCGAACGTCGCCTTCTTTTTGCAGATAAAAACGTGAAGAGGATACACATGCCCCAACACACACACACACACACACACACACACACACGAGCGAGCTGACTCGAGCGAGAGAAAAGAAAAAGCTCGTGAGAATTTTTCGGCGATTTCGCTGTCGGCCCTGCACACGCCGTATGCTTCTAACTACTTGCGAGCTTGCGCGTACACACGTAAACGCGCGCTGAATTTAATAGGCCATGCTTTTTCTTTACCCAGACCCCTTCTTTCTTTTTGCTCGTCGCAGTTGTTTTGCCAAAAAAAAAAAAAAAATGGACAAGTTAAAAAGCTGTTGTGGCTGTGCACATCGCGCACGAGCACGAGTATTTGTACTAATTTCACATTGCTGCTCGCCTCGAGGCTTGCAGCGAGTCCGTGTTATCAACGATTTTTTCAACTATTTTTTTCCTCTTTTTAATTTTGATTCTTTAATTTCTCAATTACAACGCGATGGAACGCGTTGCATTTTGAATCGAATATTTTCTTTATAATTCAAGTCGAGAGCAGCCGTGCGTTGAGCCAAATGAGCAAAAGATATATGAATTTCACATTAGTAAAACGTAAAGTAAAAATTCAAATACTGGAAAGCTTTATCGCTGAGCTGTATATAAAGTGTATAGAGAGAAGTCGATGAAAAGTTTGAGTATATATGTATACACTGAGTACGTTGATGCGATCTCGCGAAAAAATATTTCTCTCTGAACAAGTATAGGAAAAAAGAAGAGAAGTAGTGGGAGTTGCTGTATCGCTCATTTTTGTCACACTTCACTCGCACAAACGCAAAGCACATAAAAATATAATAAGAAGTATGATGCAACGACTTGAAATGAAAATTTTTCTGCTCCGCCGTTCTTCTATACCGGCATAAAGCGAGAAAAATAATGAAAGCTCTCGTTCAATTCATCATTTTCTTTTCTTTTTTCTTTCTCCTCTAGATGTGTCCGTAAGGTTACATTTTTTCAACTTTGCCAAAAAATGACTCGCCGCGCGTTTAACAAAAAATCGCTGCTCCAAGCTTAATCCCCTTCCGACGACTCTTAAGCTCTATTCATCACAATTATTCTCGCGTTAGGTTCATTATAAAATACGACGATGATTACGTCGTCGAAAATTTTCGTCGACCCTTAAAAATGTACGCGCAGTAGCGCAGAGCAGCGGCGGTGGCGGCAGCGGCAACGAAGCGCGGCAGCAGCAAAGTTAGTTGTTGAAATAAACTCGTAGTCATACTCTCTGAGAAAGTATAAGAACAAGTTTTATAACACGATTACCATCTTCCATGAGCGTTAGCTCGTTTATAAGTTAGCTCTAGGTTAGCGAGTATAGGTATAACTAGCATCGGCAAGACTTTTTTCTTTGCCTCTTTTTTCGTTGGCCACTATCTTGCCAAGGCGATGGACAAAAATACCCTTCTTCGGAGGAAAGAAACAGCAACGAGTGAAAAGTCCAAAGAACGAGAGAAAGAGAGAGAGAGAGATACGAAGGCAACATTGGAAATTGGAAATTTCAAGTACACTACAGCCAAAAGTTTGCGCGCGCGCGCGTACATATACTGGGTACAACGGGAGGATATCCTGTTATAAAGAAACCTCGCCGATCTCTTGTGTGCTTTGTATATGTATACTTTTATCAAACGCGTGTATATATAGGCGGGCGCGCGAAGGAAGCAGAGTCAGTGCGAGTCAAGTGAGGGCGAGGGTATATGGAGTGCTCAATGATCCACAGAATTTCTTTCGAGTGTATATACGTCGAATATATACGCGCGACCCAAGAGTGAGTATATTTGTGACGGGTGTTTGTCACGCGAGACGGCGACGTCGGGCGTGGTCGCGCTCAGCTCTCGCAGTTCTCTCTCTCTCGAGTAGGGTGTACTACTACCACTACTACAAGTAACATCCACACCCACGCAGGCCTCGCACCGCGTACACGTCGGGGATCTCTCTTTGGTGCTTCCAAAATCAATTTTTGAGCGCAGCTATACGTATACACGTGTACATGTCTCTCGGTGTGTGGCTGCACTGTACGCGCTATTCCAAAGTCACGATTATTCCTGGCACGTTAACTTTTTCCCTCTCTCTCTCTCTCTCTCTTTCTTATTCTCGTTCTTCTTCTCGCATCGCTGACGGTGAGCTATTTTGCCCTCTCTATATCTCCTCCTGGCCGTGCGCGAATAGATCCAATAAGCGTACCTCGAAAATGACTTTGATGCTTGGATTATTATCGAGTTACTTGTACTGGAGAATCGATGACTTTTTATTAGACGTCTAATAGCTAATCGATGAAAAAAATTCAGAAAAATATCCATCTGCAGCGATTCGAATGAAAACGTCGATAGGTAGCTTATTTACGATCGGTTCGTTGCATAATTCCCATACGTTCGAGGCTAAGCACGCATAATATGCAAAGGCGCGAGAGCGCGTGTAATTTAATAGCGCGTTAGTCGCGATAAGCGTCGAAAGAAACGAGTGTTAATTTCAAAATTAAATCGAAGCGATAAGTTGCGCGCGTACAAGTCGCAGTAGCCGATCGTTGCTACTGCCGATCGATGTGTTCTAATCGCCGAGAAATTAAACTACAACTTCATTTCGCGAATTTTTTTTTCGCCGCCGCTTCGATCACCGTTATAAACTCGGGATTATATGTACTCGTATTTCTGCTTCTGTCGACCTGCAGGCTTTACTTGCAATAGATTATACATACACATATAGCGTGTCACATCGTTTGGTTATTAGCATACTCGAGCAGCTCCTTTTGCCTCGGTGATACATGTCTCGACGCAGCTATAACGGCTGAGCAACTTTTCGATAATGCGCCATGCACATCACGCAACAACAAATTTTGCTGCACGCGCCGAGAGCTCGAAAGCAGAGAGAGAGAGAGAGAGAAAAAAAGGAAGGAAATAAGGAGAAGAAATTAACGTCGCGCTAATTAAAAAAGTTGCCGTTCCCGAGCCGAGAGAGAGAGAGTATATGTTTGCTTCTCTCTCTCTTCCACTGCTGTACGCTCGCAGCTATGCTCGACGCGCTCTCAAAATCAATATTAAAGCGCCCGAAAACTCGTCTTATTCTTGCTAGCTAGTAGCTTTAAGCCGCTGTTTTTCTTCCACTCATCGTCATCGTCATTGCGTATATAGACACGCAGAAGAAAGAAAAACACGCTCTCGCGAATTCGCGTTGTATAGGCTTAAAAATAATAAAGACAGCCGGAAGAGTAAAAAAGAAGAGGAAAATCGCCAACTTGCGAATGCAGTTTGAAGTTAAAGTGTTAAAACGTGCTATATCATCGAATTTAACTTACGGAATAATTATACACCGTGCAGGCTTTGAAGTAGCAAAAGGAACAGCCGAGAGAGAAAGAGAGACGGTGAAAAAAACAACAAATCTCTACATCACTCTACAAGCGTATAATTATAATTCAGTGTCTTTTATTTGCATACACGCGCTCGCGCACGCCCGGTGCAGTGCGACTATACAGCAGCGACGGATATTTAATCACTCGAAATTCTAGCTTTGTTCATTTTTGTCACGAGGAATAATTTTCACACCGAACTTCCTTCTGATATATACAACTGTATGTATAAACTTCTTAGCATTTATGAGAAAAAAAAAAGGAAACGTAGGTATACATAAACCAGCATCTCTGATGCGCACGCACTTCTTGGAGCTTTCCACTTTTCGGTCCTTAATGAGCGGAACCGACTTTCCGCCGTCGCCGTAGTCAGTTAGCTCTTCTCGCCAGTTTTGTTTTCGGTCGCTCGGAAAAATTATACCGAGTCTTTTCATGCGCAACGACGACGACGACGACGTCGACTAGTCTGACACTCCTCCTCGATTATTACTTTTTCAACGAGCTGTGTCGAATATAAAAATGTACATTTATTCGCCTCGATTGAGAATCGAATGTCCCTCTCTCTCTCTTCCTTTTTATTTCATTGCTCTTTTACTTACGCGCAGTAGCGCTGTCCATTAGCAAGCGTATCGAAGCTCGTGTGAAAAGCTCGCGTGCAAGAGGAAAGAATTTCCTACCAATGGAATTTAATTACCAAGTTTTTACGATCTTCTCACGAGAGAGGGGTGCGGGCGGGATGAGAGAAAGAAAGCTATAGCGGTGATTATTATACCAGATGGAAAGTGATTTAACTTTTGGAAAAATACATCGATTGACTGTAACGAGACGTTGACTCGCTGAGCTTGCCAGGCCTGCGCATTATTGGCTTTATGACTAGATGCGCATGGTACGTAAGCACGGGATATTTATGGGTGAATTCAGCTATTTACGGGTGGCGAGGTAGCGCTTGCGAACTACAAAGAGTCCCTTTTGATAAATGAATTCCCCTCAGTGGGTCAGATATGAATCTTTCACGTGGCTATTAAGTCGCGTACATTAGTACAGATAACGTCGAGATTTAATGCAAAACTTGTAGTTCGCACCTGCTTCTACGCTGGCCTATCTGAAAGTTTAATCTTGATTGTGTTCGTAGTTAATGGGAAAATTATATACACCGAGCCGAGCTAACGTACAGAGAGTCATAACCCACATTGCAGGGGTGATATACGAGTTCGACAGATTCAATGAGGCGCGATTTTTTTCTTCTAGTCAATTTATACGGAAAGTTGTATCAATTTTCGTCTTGTGGAACATTTGACTTGGAAACTTTCATCGTTGCTACTTTACACGCGCACTTGTATGATAATAAATTATAACGTAACGTGTTTTCTTTTTCTGTTTTCAGAGACTTGCAGAGTAACAACATCTCCGTCATCTTCAAGACCGACTTCGAAGACATGGCGACCCTTCGATTGCTGTAAGTATAATACTTACGTCAAAAATGTCCTTTGTAGCGAGTCACTCATGCTCGCGCGCTACTATCGACTTGTGTATCTCGGTATAGTCGCGAAGCGAGAGAAAAAGTTTTCTTTTAAAACCTGTTTTTCCTTGGGCGGCAATCGTCGAGCAGTATCGACGCCGCGTATCGACGATATTTCATATAAATATCCTTAAAAGCTCGGAGAGAAAATTGTATCGAGATCGATCGCGTAACATATATAATATAATGCGCGCTATATATATAATATGTATAGCAACGGACAGGCATTTCCATTAAAATTTCTAATTAAACTTTTTTTTTCCATCATCGGGGAGAACCCTTCTTTTCTCTCTGCCAGTGGTTCTCTGTGTCTGCGTCTGCACGCGGAATCCAATTTTGCAGTCAAAAACTTTCGCTCGGGCCGTGTGAGACATAATAATTCAATCAAAAGTATGTAAGCCTCTTTGAATATTCACACTGTGTGCGACGTCGCAGCTAGCGAGCAACCCATACAGTGTGTGAGTAATGGCCGACTCGCGACGCCGCCGATGCGGCTCTATCTCGCAGCTCGCTTTATAATGCCAGACTAGATGTGTGCCACGAAAGAGCCCGTCGCCAAGTTTTTCGCCAAACTACATGCAGAGCCCTGGCGTAGATAAGGACGGATGATGTTGCAAGCTTGGCGCGGCTTTAGCACCGAGATCTTATCCTCTTTTTATATCCTCGCCGCGCGTGTCGCTTGCATTTTGAGGAGCGTGTCTCGCCGCGACGCGCACTAGGTCAGCTCTCCAACGCGCTTATAGGCTCGGCACATCTCGAATTTGATAGCTCGATCGAGCGCAGCGGCTTACGTACACTCTGCTACGCACACCCATCGAATTATTCTCTATTAGAGCTCCTCGGCGTTCGTAGCCATATATCGCTATGTGCTTTTTAAAAAGTCCATCGAGAAATCTCGAGTGCGACACCTGTGAAATTCGAAATTTTCGATTTAGCTTGACGATTCACGATTACTGATTTCACCCTCTGCAGCTGTAATATCATATTGAAAAAAAAAGAGGAAAAAAATTCGCCGCCATATATATTTACGTAGGAAAAGCCGATCGAGCGTAGAATCACCAAAATAAGCGCAATACACATATAATATGAGATAAGCGAATTCGATGCTGGCTTCGTGCTCGTGATACCACCCAACGACTTATATCTACGAGGGATCATAAAAAATAGAAAACCAAGTCTAGGCGACTGCTGCGCTTGATGCTAAATCGATAAATAGACTTTTGCACGCAGAATCATGACTCTAAATTCCAATCGTAATTATAACTTTGCGCACGAATGCATTATATGTATCAGTAATTTCTCTCAAAATAATCATTGTAAATTCAGGCTAAAATGAGCGTGCTTGTATATAATATGGAGCGCATGATTGAGAACGCCGCCCGAACAGTGCATTTCTCCGGTAGGAGTGAAAATGCACCTATAAAAGCGGAAGAGAAAAAAAGAGCCACGCAAGCTCGAGTTCGAATAGATAGTCCATTTCCGTGCAGTGCTATAGGCATATGGGCTTTATCGCGTGCATGTTCTCACCTGTGCACGTTTATGGTTTTTTACGTGTTTACGCGCAGTTCAGACTGGCTCGCACTATAAAACACCACACTTTTTCGTCTGTATATATATACATCGAGAAACGAAATTCGGCTCGATCATGAGCATAAACGGGGCGTGCAAGCCAAAGTCAAAATCGATGATTCGACATCTAGGGCACGACGAAAATATAATTCACGCGTCTTTGGCGAATCGTAAACACGAGCAGTCGAGAGCGAGCAAAGTTGAAATTCAAGCATTTATCATGGCAAGATTTAATCTCGAGTCGTCGAGCTTTTGCCTGTATAGATATATAGAGTGTCGAGGCCCCGAGTGTCGTTGCAAATTACATTTTTGCTTTATGATTATTAAATCATCTCAAGGACGTTTTAGCACTGGCTGCGCATAGCGCGGCATAGCGTGCGAAAAGAGCGAGGCTCGACAGTTAAAACGTTTATTATGTATATGTATAAGCTACGTACGCGGGCGCATATTATAATCGAGTTAGAAGTTAAAACGTAAAATCGAGTCAAATCGTCAGGTGCGGTAGTTTCAAAGCACGAGGCACGTACTTAATATAATAAGCCAGAAGCTCCAGTTCTCTCTCTCTTGCGCGCGCGTTCGTCCAAGCCTGGATTATTAATTGTCGTCGGGCTTTATCCGCCAGTCGTCGTCACGAGGGACCAAGCCACGTCGAAATTTATAATAATAACTCGATAATCAGTCGATAATTCCATATACTAATCCGATGCAATCTTCTTTTTTGCTCTTCCTTTCCAGACAACTGTCCAACAATCAGATACACACGATCGAGCGAGGGGCTTTTCAGGATCTCGTGAGCGTGGAGAAGCTCCGATTGAACGATAATCACATAAGATTTCTGCCGGATCAGCTGTTCAGCAACATGATGAACCTCAAGCGACTGTGAGTTTTTGCAAATGTTATTTTCTCGCTCAGTCACGTGCGCTTGCCAAGTGTTGATTGACGCTTCGTTCAATATTATCATTGATAACAATGACGAGCCTTGTATTATTTCTCTATTTAACCCGACGGCTACTCCTGCGTGCCGCAAATAATGTATGACTTTTCTCGGAATAGATAAATAAAGCCTTTTGCGCAACGCTTACGTTCTAGCAAGTGCTCGAAAGTTTATAAATATATACTCCCAACAGGTTGTTATGATTCATTTTTTATTCTTTGTGCTTTCAGCGACCTCAGCCACAACAAAATCACCATGATTGGACCGAAAACGCTTCGAGGAATAGCGACGTTGAAGCACTTGTAAGAAATCATTCGATACATTGATACATTCGCCTTGTAAAACTATAGCACAATAAAAATTCTTAATAGAGCTTCGCACTTTGCGAAGCGACCTTAAAACGAGTGCTTTTATACTCCAAATTGATCGATTAAAATGAACGAAAAAAATTGCAGATTGTTGGACAATAACGAGCTGCACTGCGTGGACGAGGCGGCATTCCGAGAAATGAAAGAGCTGGACGTTTTGTGAGTCAATTTTTTTTATGCCTACTCGACTTGCCGATAAATATACAACATTTTTACACTTACCTCATTGCAACTGCTCGCAGGACTTTGAACAACAACAAGCTGACGACGCTGGGAAAAGACACATTCAGCGGTCTGAAGCAGCTGCGCACCCCCAAGCTGTCGGACAATTCGTTCAACTGCGACTGTCATCTGGTCTGGCTGGCTCGTACGTTGAAGAGCTCATCGAGACAGGGACAGCAGCACATACGTTGCCAAACGCCGACTCATCTCAAAGGACAGGGTCTGGTCGATCTGCAGGTACACAATATAATACTCGATCTATGTATTCGATATAATTGCTGCAGGATCTTTTTTCTTTGCTTTCCTTGCGATCAATTAAACCTCAAAAATGTCAAAAGTATTGTAGAGTGCTCAGTCACGCAGCTACGAGTCTCTATTATTTCATTTGCTCGATCTTTTAATTAAGCTCGAAAATATACAGTACGGCAGCGAAAACGAGAGATAAAATATAATTAGATGATAGAGCTGACTATCAGGATGGAATACATAATAAGAGCGACGCGAGCGACGTCGAGCGCATGTAACAAGCACGTCCCAGTACGCAAGAACATCCTAGTTAAACATATATACATAAGTAGCTAAGAGAAACGAACGAAAGTTGGCTAAGAACAAACGCTCGTTTACTCCCCAGGACTCGAGCTTAAGGCTCGAGCACTTGAGTGTCGGCCAAATGGAAGAGGAGCAGAATTTTTTTTTTAAATCTCTTATCCGAGAGAGCTTTAAATCGAAATTTTAGATAAGGCGGATATTATATGCTCGAGCTCTGTTCTGCGCTCGCGAGAGAGTCTTATGTTTCTTGGTCCGTAGAAGTTGCTCCTCTCGCTCTCACACAAGTAGCCGTGTACCCACTCTCGAGATGAATAGCTTTAGCCAAGTTTAATTATAGATAGGCGAAGCCTGCACTGCCGCTCTGCTCTGTTCTGCTCTGCTCCTGCTGCTGCTACTGCTGTTGCATCGCGAAAAGCTCAAAAGCCAAAAGATTTAATGTCAAGATTGGTCCGATTTAAATACACTATCATCCAGAGTATTTCTATGCGGATGCACGAAGAGGCCGATATACATGCTCGCTCGGCTCTTGTGTATATTACCGTAATTGGCGTTTGCCGCATACGCGACCGTACACATCAAGATTGGCGCGCTCGGTTCATCAGACGCATAGACCTATCGTGATACTAGCTTTCGACCTAGTTTCCTGCGGTGAGCGAATATATCCAACGAAAAAGACTGCCAGCTCACGCGTTTATTTGATTAGAGAGAGAGAAAGAAGAGCAAAAACTATGACGCTTGCGGTATACACATCTCAAGTGCTCCGATTGTGAAAATATTTTGGTCCTCGTGCTGAGCCGTAGAAAATCCACGCTTCAATTGCAACACGTCGGAGACACTCTAGTCTACTGCTCGAACTTTCGGGAGAAAAAGTTGACGCAGGCTCGGGGATGAGCCACGCACGAGAAGCTTTGGTTAATTAAAATTGACAGACAGCTTGCGGCCAAGTAAAACACACACACGAGTAGAAAAAAATTCAGACTAAAATCCAGAGCTCATCTCCGAGATTACGCGCCAACAAAAGTCTGAATGAAAACAGCCACAAATATGATGAAATATTTAACAGTGAAAAAAATGAAATAAAAGCCGACTCGTTTTCTGTCGTTGCAGGAGAGCGAATTAAAATGTACGATTGGAGCGGAGAAGCCGAGCGGCTCCGAATGTAGCAGCGAGCCACAGTGTCCACCGCCGTGTCGCTGCACCGACGGCATCGTAGATTGCCGAGAAAATTCGCTGACCAAGGTGCCGTCCTATTTGCCCGAGGATGCCGTCGAACTGTAAGTCTTTTCGCCGCAGATCACGATCGAGCGCGCGTGTACATAAAGCAATGTAGCAGATATGCAGCTTTATTTTCGACCTTTTTCCAGACGTCTCGAGCAAAATGGCATTACCGAGATACCGGTCAAGGCGTTTTCTCCTTACCGAAAATTGCGCAGAATGTAAGTATCAAGATGCACATATATATCTAGCTACAAGTCCATTTACTTGGACGATGCGCGAGCAAATCGTTCCGTTGCAGTTCTCTTGCGAATCAAAGAGCGAAGCGCGCGCTCGACTTTTATGACCGTAAATCAAACGGCCTTTTTTTTCGCATTCTCTCGCCGCGCGCGCTCCTGTTAAACTTGCAGTCTTTTGCCGCTAATGGATTGGCTCGTCGAAAAATAAAATATTATATGTACGTTTGAACGCGCGAAAAACAAAGGAGCCTCAGCCACGCGGACAAAGATGATGAGAACGTCTCGACGAGCAATATTTACGACGGAAATACATGTGTAATGTATTTGTTTTTGCAGTGATTTAAGCAACAACAAAATCAAAAAAGTCGCCTCGGACGCGTTCCACGGCCTCAAGTTCCTCGAGTCCCTGTGAGTATAATCTCGAGCTGGCTCCACTCGGCTACTATACAAGCCATGAGAATATAAATTATAATCATAAACGTTCAATTGTGCTCACTTTGATTTTCCATTGCATTATAGCGTGCTCTACGGCAATAAAATAACCGAACTGCCAAGCGGAATATTCCAAGGTCTAACGAATTTGCAGCTTTTGTGAGTAACTCTTTATCTCTTTTGTCTTTAAGTCGCGCACTTATTGTGTGCGAGCGCATATTGATTTATACTTTACAACGTGTGTAAGTACGCTAAAACGAAACGTCGACGACGTCCCCTGTCCACAGGCTGCTGAACGCCAACGAGATATCTTGCATACGTACCGACTTGTTTCGCGATCTCCCGAGCCTCACGCTTTTATCTCTCTACGACAACAACATCAGGTCCTTGGGCAACGGGACTTTTGCCAATCTTCGGAGTATCAAGACGCTGTGAGTTTACCTATACCTTGCAAAATCCTTGTATGAGTACACACGAGTTTATTTTACTTTATCAAGCTCTTTGGATCTGTAAGCAAGACCTATTGTTTTGGCTGTTTCTTTTGTTTGTTTTTTTTCGTTTCCACCAGTAGATGAATTAAAGCTCGTGTATATGCATAAATTGGAAAATCTCATTCCGAAGTTTGATGCGACCGAGTCGATCTGTCGGCTCGGTCCTCGCGCTCATCTGATTTCACCATCCGTATGGCTCGGCGACCTTCGCATTTAAATGGAGCCTGTTCCCCTTTCCCGAGGCATCCACAGGCATCCTCTTTCTTTCGTTCCATTCATGCACCTTAAAATTCCATATCCTTCCATCATTCTACTCCTCTCGATTCAGCCACCCACGCGCTCTCTTTTCAGCAACTTCTCTCATCTCATATATACATGGTTCTTTTCTTTTTTTTTCTTCATCCTTGCCTCGGTCTGTCTTTCTCGCTCTCTCCGGCTTGTTGGACCGAGCACAGGCACTTGGGTCGCAATCCATTCATCTGCGACTGCAATCTTCGCTGGCTGAGCGAATATCTTCACGTAAATCCGATCGAGACGTCGGGAGCCCGTTGTGATTCGCCGAAACGTGCCCTGAAAAAGCGTATCGACAACATGAGAGACGAAAAGTTCAAATGTAAAGGTAAGTCACGCGCACAGACGACCACGAGCGCTCGTCGGAGGCAAACAAACGAAAATGATACGGCTACGTGAGCCTAGAAATACGACACTGTCGCGGCCGCTCGTGTATCGGCTCATCGCTTACGTGGATTAATATTCATCTCGGCGCATATTCGCATGCCCGTCCCCGAATTCGCGTTCTCTCGCTCGCTCTCGTTCGGCTCATCGTATTTATACGATGCTACCGGTCTGCAGCTGAAAATGTGTTTTTTTTTTGTTTACGATACGCCCAGGCAGCGGCGGCTGATGCGTATACGTCGTGACGTATCAACGACAGTCGAGCGAGCTTCTGGCCTGCACCCGGCCACATGTGCCGCGGATACGCCGGTACACTCGTTGCGGAAGCTATTAATAAGATCGAAGGGATACGTTGTATGATTTGTAGGGCGTAACGTTTCAAGCGAGGCGTACAGCGGCGCAGCGCAGGCCGCCGTCTGTCGTCGACGTACTGTCGATACGCGACGCGTCCCGAGTCTGACTCTGTTTTGAGGCTAACCACTGGAAATTCCTTGATGAGAATCGCAACTCTACCTGACACATGCGTACATGCGTGTAATTTATCGAGCCACGTAGTTTCTCATTGCAGATAAATCATCCGTAGGCAAAAAACATCATCGTGTGAGCGCGCGATGCACTTTGCTCTGTCAATTTTACTCCCTTAATATGTATACGCGCGCGCGCGCACGCGTGGAAATTTCGTATGAATATGCTAATTTCGCGCCAAAACTATTCCAATTTTCCGCTGTTTCTCTTCCCGTATACGTAATTACACTCGTGCTACGTCCGCAGTAATCAAGGTCCGGGCCGAAAAAGCACATTACGTATACGATGACGAAACGCATCTAGCTCGCAACTGTATTAGAAGCAGAAAAAGCCTCGAGCGAAAAAGTAGGCGAGAAAAAAAAGGTAAAGAAACGACGAGTGCATTTATAAAATCAGTCGCACGCGAGAAATTAGTCTTCGTGGCTCTAGGAAGCACGCGACAGACGCACGAGTGCTCGGTTCCGCGATAAATTACGCGATATCGCATGGCTCGCCTATTTGAATTATAATCTCGCGCCGCGGCGACTCTCGCCGCCTCGAATACCTTTGTCGAGTCTTTTCATGGAGAAAAAGCTGCAACTCCGTAAGCGTATATTATACTATTATGACGATTGCCATCGGATTAATCGCGACTGCGTGTTTATATGCAGCTTTGCCGCAGCATTATTTTTTCTTCCTTCGCGCGCAACATAATACACTGCAGCTAAAGTACTTATAATGCCAGGTTTTTTGTTTCGAGTATTCAACGGCTAAATCGATTGTTTTATCGACGGATAACAACTAGTCGCTGCATTTCTCTCTCTCTGCACTAGTGCAGTGTCGCGCGTTTCGAAACGATGAATCGGCATAATTCACCGGAGATATATGTGCTTGGGCTCGCTCAACTGTTGCGTACGTGCGTGTGCGTTTACGCCGAGGCTTATTTTCGAATTAAAATACCGCGCGTACATATAAAGTGACAATGACTCGGATGCTGCGCGCGCTGCAATTGTTGTCGGGCGTTAAAATAATCGCTCCACTCCAGGCTTCGCGCTCCAGTCCGACGGAGAGCAAATAGGCATTTGAACCAGATATTGCTGCTGATCGTTACTCGTCTCGCAAACATCAATTTCAATCCGTAATTATTTCTAAATAAATGCCCGATCGAAGAATTTTCAATCACGCACAAAATGTATTATATCGCTGCAGCATAAGCATTTCTAGCCTCTCGTTCGGTCTGAAAGTGCGCGCCTGGCCGTTCAGCCAGACTTGAATAGGTGAAGGCTCTCTTTGCCTTTAACGCTATTGAAGAATGTTAACGCGAGATTTATGCTTTCACGCTTCAATGAGCTTATTTATATCTATTATACATATACATACGCCAATGCGCGCGTATGTATTTAAAGATTGTTGAGCGAGCTGGAGAAAAAAATATTTTATTTTATTTAAAACGAATCAAGATCGTGTGCGGACTAACGTCGGGTTATACAGGCTTTACTCGTGGCTTGGAAAATCATTCTCATGAATACATATACCTAATGCATTATTCATATAATCTTTCAATCGGAGAGCAGAAAACTTTTAGATGCGGCTCTCTATCGATATGCATACACCTACTTAAAAGAGACCTTATTTTTTCCGTCAAATCAAACGGGCGCAATTCTCTCGGAGCAATGTACATAGGCGGCTCGTCGAAGAGCCATGGCCGTTCATTCTCGTTTGCTTTCATTTTCCTGCGAAAAGTTGCGCTCGAAGAAGCAGTTGCGATTCGCAACGTTCTTTGAGCGAGTTGCCTATAATTTCTTTGTTGGACTAAACGAAACGAAACAAATTCAGGCGACGAAGAACTCCTGACGAAGCGTGCGGGTGAGTGCATACTGCCAGGTCCGTGCCCAGCATCCTGTACTTGCAACGGAGCGACAATCGATTGTTCCAACGAAAAACTTACCTCTATCCCGAAGGACCTACCTATTTACACATCGACTTTGTAAGTTTCCAATAACTTTTTCAAACAATACTTTGTACTTGTAGCAAAAAAAGTGGTTACTTTTTTTCATTGAACGAGCCGTATAACTTTCAGTCACGCTTATTATATGAAACCATGTTCAAGCTTATGATTAAACAATTGAAATAATTAATAGAATTTCGTATGCATTATTGTGCAAACAAGGGCGATAATGTATACGATTGAATTTCATTGCACATTGAGATGTAAATTTTGCTACGCACACATAAACTCGCGCACGCGTCTGTATTCACTGACTTTGCTACAATAATACGAAATTCTAACGGATAACACTACCTTCTTGTCTCTGAATCGTCGATAGATTGCTCAGAAATAATGCAATCGAGAAAATCAAAGCGGAAGGCCTGTTCGAAAAGCTTCCAGAGCTGCAGCATTTGGATCTGAGGGGTAACAAGATTTCGCGCATCGAAGGCGGCGCCTTCGAGGGTGCTCGCAAATTGACAGAACTGTAAGTAAAGGAATTTTTCCCTCTCTCGCTCGCTCTTAAGCGCGATAAGAACATTTTTATTCATTCTTTTCATTCGCCACGTGCAGACTGTTATCGGACAATAAACTGCGAGAAGTACACACGAAAATGTTCAACGGCCTAACTAGTCTGAAAAGCCTGTGAGTATCCGAGCCCCCTCGTTACAATCCTATTTATTCGTGCAAAAGTCCAAGTCACTTAACTCTGCAACTCTGTCTTGTGTTTTTTTCTCTCTCTTTTCAGAAATCTCCATGGCAATGCGATTACCTGCATGATGCAAGGCTCCTTCGACAATCTGCCTCAATTGCAAACCATGTGAGTATATCGTATATACCTATAGGCGCTTGCGCCTACGCGCTTGCACCGCGACGCTGGATAGAATAAAAAAAAAAAATGAAGCGGGGGGAAAAAGCGAGAGCTTGTTAAGCTCTCACATATATGGACTCGGCTCCCTCCCTCCATATCGGGTTTCTATGGGCTAGATAAAAGCCTCGAATAAATCGAGGGGATGTGTATCCAATATCGACTTCGATACGGACGCGCACTGCACACATGTAAAACGCCCGCACGCGATACGCATAATTTTTAAAGATATCGTTTTTATTTTTGTTTTTGCCTCGACGCACGTAAACAATTGGGAAAAATAGAAACATTCAGGGAAATCCACTGTCGTGCAACTGCCACTTAGCCTGGTTCTCCGAGTGGTTGAAAGAGCACGAGGGCGTCACGGTTACCGGACACTGTCACGATCCGCCTCGACTGAAGAACGCCGTTATCAACGAGATCCCAAGACACGAGTTCAAGTGCACCGGTGAGTAGTTATATATACATAGTAACATCGGAAGTCCCTTTCAGACGTTTTGTTTATCATTTGCCATTGCTATTGTCGTGATTCACCGCGACGACAGCGACGACAACGACGACGACAAAAATAAGTGCTCGGCCGAGCGTAAGAAAAGCAACGAAGCCAACGAGTTTTATGCATACAACCGGGTACTTGAGAGATTTTATGAAATTCGAGCAAGATATTTTAATTGATACTCGAGGCTTTTTTTTGTTCGAGGAAATAAAATGATACTTTTGGTGCGCTGCGTCGCAAAACTATGAATACTTGTATAGGTATTATATATTATATACCTGTACGGCACATAAAACGCGAAGCTTTCATTAATCGCGGATAACGATTATCCGGCAGCGTATAAACGCACGTAAATAAATGATCAGTCTGGCGAGGCATTTATAAATACATTTTCGCAGTCGGCGCGCGTGGCTTAAGCGGGAATCTTGTCAAAGAAATTTATTCGATATTATACGCATAGTTTTGCCATGTAATTTGATTATATATCCGTGCGCGGGCTTGCAAATATATTTCCGCCTTGTCGCCAACTTTTAAATGATTACATCGGCCAATGGGTATGTTCGTTTTCAAACGAGCACACTCAGCCGCGAGTGATTTGTATTAATGATGTGGACGCGCGAGCGACCGGCCGTGCAGTTAAATCTTGTTGAAAGCTGCGCGCGCTTGAAGGATACGAGCTGCGTCTCCGTAATTTTCAAAGCGAGAGACGCGCGCTGATTTATAATAAGCAAAATTTAATTATATGCGCGATTTTCGTATGTAGCATTCTTAAGTAATTAATAAATTACCTGCACGCGCTGGAATGAGCGTGAAATTCGCCGATATTAATCATATATAAAACCTCGCCGCGCGCGGCCGAAGGAAAGCTCCGTCGCGCTCCTATGAAAGTTTGCACAAATACTTTGTTCGTCAGAAAGTATTTATTCGCACGCATTTCAATCAGCTGCTCATAATTTACGTTCTAGTAATTCCATCAATACTCGATCGGCCGTATGAAACATTAAATTCCACATTTACCTGCATTTTGATATAGTAATAATTATTCACCTATGGAAATTCGCGCTTGAATTCATCTAATTTTCGTGCGCTAATTTTTAATATATACAGCATATAATTTCGAAAGTGGGATCCTTGTGAAAAGTACAAGTTTTGATAAAGTAGCAAAGGCTTTGTTCTATCCACTTTGCCACCAATTAGTCGGCGACAAAGGCATTTCTTCTGCTCTCTTTTATTTTCTTTTCTTTATTTCGACTCGGAGTTTATTGCGATTTTCGTGCCTTTGCCGCGACCCGAATCATCCTTGCATTAATTGACAAAGTACAATAACGAAACTTGTAGCAAAATTGGATTTCACATAGCACAAAGAGAACTTGGGTTTCGTAAGGAACTCGAGCTCTTTTTTCTCTTTCTCGTGTTCTCTATCTCTCTCCCGCTCTCTGTCTATCCAATAACGAAAGCGACTTTATTCATGCAAAAGCTTGAATATACACGCATGAGTGAAGCTTAAAAGTTGCAGCACATATACAGATACACGTTCAGAGAGAAAGAGCCGCAAATCATCGATTTCGATGTCAAAGCTCATTCCGCTACAAAGCACCGAGCGTATACCACACTTGGTTTCAATGTCGCATAAAACTTACTTTTTTTCCTCCTCCTCCTCCTCTCTCTCTCTCTCTCTCTTTCCCATGTATAGGTATACATAATTTTGTCTCTTGCCCTAAAGCGCAACCGCACTGCAAACCACTCTCGGGTTTCACCGTGTGGTTATATATATATCGCGTATACTCCCTCCACCTCCCCCTCTCCACTCTCTCTTTCTCTCTCGGTAAAAAAATATTTCTCGTTTTTTGCAAATATATGTATGTATATACAGGCGCACTTGCATAAATTTCCATCATCATCCTCGCAGCTGGCTACGTGCAATGCTATTACGCAAATGAGATTTTTCAAGCTTTAATAACGATGTGCTTTTCGACTTTTTCTAATTAACTCGAACATTTTGTCTTTGAAACTTATTTTGCTGCGATGTAGCTAGACAGAAGTCAAAAATGTCAATTGGCGCGACTTTAAATACGATGACTTAGATTACGTATGTTTGCAAAAGCTCGAAAAATTTATATTACTCGCTGGGACGTTCAGCAGAATTTAATGAAAAGCTTTTAGGCAAGTTATCTTATCTTCAGCAAATATAAAGCTTATAGAGAGTAGATCGAGTAATAACAGTTATCGATGAGTTCTGTATTATGTATAAAATCTAATGGAGATTTAGTGCTTTTTATTTGTAGAGGTATGCACCCTATCGAACGTTAAAAGCCATTTTGTCCTTTCTATAATTCACATCTAAAAGGTGTTCATTTTCTCGCGTGAATCGAAATTATTGACAACTGTTTTATTTAAGTTGGTCGAATTTTTTTTCACCAGTAGGTCGAAGCGCTTTCACCGCAATATTTTTTTCTCTCATCTTTCGTCGAAAGCTCGGCAAGTTGTAAAAATAACAAGCGGTTAAAAGAAGTTCCTTCGACTCGAAAAGTTATAAGCTGGCCTGAATTATTTCAATGTAAAAGTGTACGTGTATCTTGGGAAAAGTTCGATACTTCCTTACGCTTCTCGCGTTTCGCAAAGAAAGTACGCTTCAAATATCAAATTTAATCAATCAAAGCGGCAGCATATACAGGATTTGTGCTCGCGCGTTGGAGGATGCGGGCACCTTTATATCATTTCAAATACCCGCACATCCTCGCTAACTCGTTTACTTTCTCCTCGACTTACATCTCAATAATCAAAGCCTTTGTTTCTCTTTTCTTTGGCTGCTGCCCTTCAGGTGATAGCTGGGGTTGCTTAGGCGATGATTATTGTCCGCCCCAGTGTAGCTGTGCCGGCTCCGTGGTTCGATGTTCGAGATCGAGGCTCACGGAAATACCGCGAGGTATCCCGCCGGAAACGACGGAGCTGTATCTTGACGTCAACGACATCAGGACCATTCAGCCCGAGAGATTGGCGCATCTCAGTGTGCTCCAAAGGCTGTAAGTATACATGTTATTGATTTGAAATTCAAAGATAAAAGTCATATTTTTATACGCGAACTTTATAGTACTTGGAAAGTTTTTTTATGGGCTTATGAAGATGATAATATTACGTCGAAAATTCCACTCTATTAGATGCAACAAGCAAACGCAGATGAGTTTTTATTATCATCGAAATTTATCACACACGCATAAATTAAAATTAAACAAAACAAGCACAATCGATTGGAATTGACTCATTCGAGGCGGTGCGATGAGTGTGTAAGTCTCTCGAGCTATGCATTGTCATGTGCGCTTTTGATTGTCAGTTTAATTTTCTTCGCTAGTAAATTCAAAGGGAATTTCAGCGCGGCCTTACGCATGTGTACTTATTGCGACCAAGTGAGCGAGTAAGATTAATGACTTTTCATCGGCTTGCCCATACAAGCTCATCTTGACGAATTTATTCCACACCGAGGTCGCATTGTACACAGAGGAAGGCTCTTTTTTCTGTGCAGAAAAAAAATCATTGTATCGGGATGTTAATGATCGTCTGTGATATAAATCGAATACGTTACTTAACGCACGTAATCAATTATATGTATTGCTTTTTCTTTCTTGTCGTGACGTGGAAATTTTTGAATCAATATCATGTTTGTTGTTGAGTGCTATCGCATACTTAGCAATGTCCGAGTATCAAAATATTCTCTTTAGCAAGTCTCAATTACACATTGTTCTCTCATACTTGAGCGATCTTTAGTTCTGCGTGAGAAAAAAATGCATCTCGAGTTGAACAGCGAAACTGATCGTGTGATGTTTATTGTGTTCTTATAGAGACTTGAGCAACAACCTCATTGGCATGCTGTCTAACAATACCTTCAAAAATCTGACGAAGCTGGCACATCTGTAAGTTTGAGTAACTGAAAACTTGAAAATAGCATACTTGAATTCAATATTCATACTTGAACGCTCGTGTTTTTTTTCACAGGATCATCAGTTACAACAAGCTCCAGTGCGTGCAGCGCAACGCCTTGGCCGGTCTGAAAAACCTTCGAGTTTTGTAAGTATAAACATGTGTATCGTTTTAAAAAGCATTAGTCGAGCTCGAGAGTTCGAGAGCCGAGCTGAAATAAGAAGGGATTATTATAATTTACCGTTAATTACATCTTCGACCCTGACTGCTCATTTCGCTTTATTAACTTGATAAATGTATCGCTGAATTACGGCCTCGTAAAGCCTTTATGCTCCTCGCGTCGTTGTTGCTTTTGACCGATAATGATGGTGGCTTTGTAATTAAATGTAAGCGAGCTCAAGGGTCGTCGCGTGCGCGAGAAAATCTCATTTTAATCTCCTTCGTATACTATGTGAACTGCGCGTGGCGAATCATCTTTTAGCCAAGCACGAATATCATCGATGCGAGTGATTGCAGTCGATTCGAAATTGTTCACGATACCTTTTCTAGTCGAATTGTTCAGCTGCTCGTGCGCATTGTATCGGCTCATCGGGGATTTACTCGTAGCGTATGAATTATTTACTGTTGGGCACGCCTCGATCGAGCCGATCACTTTTACCTTCGTGTCTCGAGCGTTCGATCTTAATTTTCGAACTTCTGATGATGTAAAATCATCCATAAACGAGCTGGAGTGTAACGAGCATCGACAATTAACTCGAAGAAATTACGTAATTAGTGAAGTAATTATTGCTCATTCCCGAAGCGATAGATATTCGAAAGTAAAATGAGAACGAAGCCATAGGAAAAGTGCTCTCTCGCATGTCCAAACGAATAAGAGAGTATCCTTGCATACTGTATCATAGAAGCGCCGATCGGTTTGGAAAAACCGCATTGAGGTTGGCATTGTAACATTATGAGCGGTGATAGCCAAGCAATGCATGTACTGCGGTACTTTATCTCTCTCTCTCTCTCTCTCTCTCTCTCTCTCTCGCTCACGAGCTATTACATTATGTCATGGCTTGCGCGTGTATATAAGTGCAGACATAGCCGAAATTCCGAAAATACCTTGACAAAGCCGGGGACTCGGCCGCGTACACCGCCGCAAATATACATAGCGAGCGCAGAAGCGACTCATCCGCTTATACTAGCCGATAAAACAATACCTCGCTCGACTATGCACGCAGATTATAATATCACAGACAAGGGTCGGGGCTGAAACTATGCCTGTGTTGTTACAGCTCCCTGCACGGCAACGACATATCGGTAATACCGGAGGGCGCCTTCGACGATCTCAAATCTGTCACGCACTTGTGAGTATATCCTCGCTATATAATATATATAATATGTGTTATTGGGTTGTGTAAGGGACCAAGACGTAATATTGACGCGCGAAAATATGTGTCGCTTTTCCAGGGCACTGGCGTCGAATCCCCTGTACTGCGACTGCAGCATGCGATGGTTGGCCGAGTGGGTGAAGAAGGACTACGTCGAGCCCGGCATAGCTCGTTGCGCCGAGCCGGCCGCGATGAAAGACAAGCTATTGCTCACCACGCCCGCCAGTGCGTTTCAATGCAAAGGTAAGCATCCAACTTTTTACTTACTATTACTATTGTTGTTTGTATTCCTATGAAATTACGCCATATCTGCTGTCACTGTTGTTTTCATTGTTGTTGTTTTTTTCACTATCCCCTTCTGTCTATGCAATAGATGGTTTGGAATTTGGCACGATAGAGCACGTGGTTTGCGGTCGTTCAATCAAATATCAAAAAAAAAAAAACTTGATGTATTTATCTTTGACGATTGCTCGCAGTGAACTAAATTCTTTCTAAATATTGAATTGCCTTCAACCAAGTCGTACACTTTTCCTTCCTCACGCGCTCGCGAGACAAAAATTCATTAATAGTTCATTTTCATGCATTGTCAACGTTACGTACGTATACAGCGTGGCACTGCGAGCAATTTAAAAACTTTTTTGGTGGTGTTTACAGTTGTTACCTTTTTTCATTCTGGTTTTGGTTTGTTTTGTTTTCACCTTCTTTTTTTTTAATTCGCATAGTCTGCTTGTTCATGGCTACTACTGTTTTTACATGCGCGCGCCACACCATTTCAGCGAGCTCTCGCTGTTTTTTACGGGATTTTCGCCGTAGTTTTTCTTTCTTCTTTCATTTCAATTCACGCTTCTTTTGCACTCTGGCAAATAAAATTAACTGCTGAGAAAAAGAAAAGTATCTTTATATAGTTAATGTTTGTTACTTTCCGAGCGTTGCGAGCTGTTACACAGGGGTGCCCGGGAAAATCGAGCTTTAATTCAGAAGTTTAGCCTGGATGCGAGAGCGAGCGAGAAAAAGAAACTGCGCTACATATTCCTTGTATATACACTTGAATCGCAAAAGAAAGACGTTGAATTGTTTAGTAGAAAATTTACGCGAAACTATTTCTTGCGCTCGCACGCTAAATAGACTTTTGCATTATGTAGAGAAGGTATAGCTGGACTTTCGTCGAGTTTCGACGTTTCGCGAATTCACTTTCAAAATGCGAATTCTTTTATTCGCTTAAAATGTTGTTTTATCTGATGAACCATTGTACTATACACATGTACACGGCGTGTACTTGTTGAGTTATACTTGCATATTTCGATAAAATTTTATTACGAAACTCGGACGCTCTACGTTGGCAATTTTTGTTTTGTCGTTTTTCAATAAAATAATCTTTTGTGCGAGACAACGATCAATTCACGTGTTGCTTTCTGTTTCTCTCTCTTGTGCGCGCGTGTGTGTTCTCTGTTACGGTTGGCACATCAAAAACCAATACGATATATCGCTTACGTTTCGATATTTGCATTCTGCGCTAAAATTTATTGGACTTGGAACGTTTCGTTACTTGGCAATACACGTGAATTCGTTATTCTCGCGGCTGCCCGGCCATTGTGCTAGAAGCCATTTATTTTTGTGGAGCGCGCACGAAACGCGCCTCGTCTTTACAGCCGATTAAGAAAAAAACCTTGAAATTATTATAACGATGAAAGAGAGCTGCCATAACGTAGAGCGGATTAGACACGGCCGCGCACTCGAAGAAAAATGTCGCCGCGAGAGAAAGGGGAAAAAAAGGAGTTGTCCGTGCTCCTCATCCCTTGGCATGCGAGTAGCACAGCAGGAGTAGCGACGCGTGAAGCTCCATAAAATTCGCGTTTAGCGCTGGCACTCTTGGACATTAAAAATCCCGACCGCTAATTCGCGCGCTCGTCCCGAGCTCGCTTATATAAATTTAGAAAGCTCTCGTGCGCCGACTATTACAGCCCAGCGAAATCTCTTGGCCCGCGATTTCCCTAATTAAGGTACAAAAACGCCGAGTAGTCGTACGAAAACAAGAGAGAGAAACGCCGAGGTTTTAAATAAAAAGCAAAAAACGAAGAAAGGGAGGAAGGCCAGGCCAGGGGGTGCACGAAACGGACGAGTTCTCATTCTCGCTCGCTTTCTTTCTCTCTCTCTCTCTTTCGACGCGAGTCGCGCACGGTGTCATAAAAATAAATTCCCGTTTTCTCGAAACGACCCGCGACGTTTACGAGCCCTATGCATTGCCAGCGGCGCTTTTTACTACCATGGCCCGCGGCTTGGCTTTTACCCCCTTCTTGTATAAAAGCTGTATATACGCAGGCGCGATGTGAATTATGCAAGTCCGAATTACCGACTGTGTTTAATAATGCAGAAATCGTCGACTATTCGCGTGTAGCGCTGCACTCGCACAGAAAGAAATATATGCTACTCTCGAGTGTATACGCGAGCCATCCTTTTTCGGTACTTTCGAATCAATCCTGCGCTCGGCGAAAGGCCACGCGCGAAAAGCCAAGCATGTGTACAATATATAGACGCGCCGCTACGCAGCTGGCAAAGAACCGCAACTGCGTAACTCGTCGCGGGATAAATCAATCGCTGCGCTATAAAGCGGCCGGCGGTTCTCTGCACATAGGCCGTGTCTCTTTCGCTACAATTGAGCAAAAATTATTGCCGACTCGCGTATGCGCGCCCGCGAGTACCTACACTCTATACTGTTCATACTCGCGCACGCATGTACACATTTACGAGGGCGCGCGAGAGATATCGTCATATCCGCATACAGATTTGGTTTTTTCGGACAATGGAATTTCACCGCGAGTGATTTCTTAGCTAGCTGCAGCCGCTGTTGTTTGTGCCTGGACTGCAACGCCCGAGCTTTTTTGTTGCCGCGGCGCGTCATACAGCCTGCAGTACCTATATGTGCGCGCCGCTTTTGCGATGCATGTATCATGATACAGTACGTTTAAACGTACAGGAAAAGAGAGCGAAAGGAGATATGTTGCTTGCCGTTGTTTTATGATGCTGCGGATTTAACGCTTATATAGTCCGCCCGCGTACATACATGAATTATAGCCTTGACCTATTGTTCCTTTAATAAGATTTTTCTCGCTCGAGCTTTATGCCCTCTCGTGATTCCTATAAAATACATGCGCGAGTGAGCGCCTTCTCGCCCGTAATAATTAACGTTTCTCCTTATACGCTGCTGCAGGTTAACCCATCACTTTTTTTTCCTTTTTTCCTTTTTTATTATTTTTACGTCTTCCCGCTGAGCGTAAATAAGTTTAATTTTTCAAATTGCCATACTGCAGTTGACGCGTGGCATATACTCCACTTGACGGTATTAATTCCATTTGGCGGAACGCGTGTACACGCGTAGGTAACGCGCGACGCTCCCGACGCTTTTAAAACGTCTAATACGGCGCGCGTTCGGCATATTTATACGCATGAATATCGAATCGATAAAAACACTTTGCGTTATTACGATCTGCGTCTGTGCATGTAATGCGCGTGCGACGCGTTATTGCCGTCGATTTGTTTCGGATATGTGTCTGTATGCATGACTATGAGATCGTAACGTTCGATCTCTTACTCCCGCGTTATCGAGAAAATTTTTCCAAATATTAGGTTGACGAGACACGCGAACAAACGGATATTGCAACTGCTAAAAATGATCAGCTTGAGAGTATTTTGTGTCTCGACGTTTTAATCGAAAGCATCGCCTCTTTTTATTCGTTCCGCCTTACTTTTTTCGCCGTATATCTTTTTCAATCGGCTAAAAGCATAGTTATCTGCGTACGCGTGTTAAAAAAAATGTATGCGAATCACACTTGAAAATGTACAGCGACAATATTGATACGTGGGACTTTATGCTGCGGTCTGGAACGAGAAAAGTTTCGACGTGCGTACGCTCGCGGACGTTTTTCATTACGGGTGGGCTACCCGCCGCCATCCGGCCGTCGCAGCAGCAGCTGACATAGTTTCAAAACTTTTTAAGCGTGCATAATTCCTCGTTGTGTAAATTTAATCGATTGGTCACACACAATCTCTCCGGCGAAGGGAGTTCCATTAAAAATTTGCCTCTCGCTTAAATATACGTTCGTTCTTTTTTCCGATAAAGCAAGTTTAATCGTGTTTTTAGAAAAGACGCTCGGTGTACTTTCCACGGAGAAAAGTTCATTAGCTCCGAGGCATCGACCGATCTCGGCAAACGAAATTGGGTCAAAGAAATTCATTGTCCTTAAAAATTAATGGCTACGACAGACTCGAATAAAAAGCTATTTTATGCATTTCGATTTGCTTATGATTGTCTGTGCCGCTATTCACTTTGCTGTTTATATCCATTTTCATGAAATTAGCCAATTGTTTTGCGCACACACCACTGAAATAGAATTTAATTGTAAATGAAATCTTTTTTGAATGTTAAAAAAAAAACGACTGCAGACCGGCGTGAGGGTGAAAAAACTAAAATGTTTGCATTAATCGTAGACCTTTCTTCCGCGCAGCCAAACAACAACAGCAGCCAGCCGAGGTATTGGCGAAATGCAACGTGTGCTACACAGCACCCTGTCAGAATGGAGGACTATGCGAGGCGCTACCGGACAAACAGTTTCGCTGCAAATGCGCACCAGGATATCACGGGGACAGGTGTCAATATAAAATCGATGCGTGCTATGGAAATCCTTGCAGGAACGCCGGATCTTGCAAAGTACTGGAGGAAGGAAGATTCAGGTGAGTCAGCTACGCCTTTGCTTTTAAATATCGCTCGTGCGCTCGCCTTTAAAGCAGCAAAGTTTTTAATTTCTACATAATATACGGCCGTGCGCGCAACTCGTTATCAAGATTTTCCAACTTGGCCTTCGATTAACGCTCAAATTTTTAGCTCGCCAACTTTTTTACCTTCAAAGAGGCCTCGCGCAGCCTCTATATTACGTGCAGGTGCGTATAATATTATATACGCGGCAAATTGGATTTCTTTTCTCGCGCGCGCAGCTCCTGAACGGCTACTTGACCATCGGCCGTTTGTATCGTCTTATTTGGACATATTATAGTCTTGGCGCGTTCATAATAACGGTCGCTCTTGTAGTTTTATTTGATTTCCCCTTTTACAATAATAATATGAGTGCGTACTCTTAATCAACCTGACAAGTTGAGTGAGAGAGCTTAATTGGACTAGCTTGTGTATATATACGCTCGTAGGCTTTTCCGGCTCAGTCGAGACTTTTCATATTCGCTCAAAATTATTTCTCTCTCGCTCTCTCGCTCTCTCACTTGCTCCTCCGAAGAGTTAGTTTCTCATTAAACTCGCTGTTTATTAAATACGCTCTATGGAATTTCCGTTTGATTTTCAACCGTAGAAACTTTGCGCCTTTTCAAATGTATACTCGTGTACGCATGCAAGCGTCAGAACTTCCTTTCAATAATGCACTCTTCGCTCATTTTTGTCGTCTGAGCAATGCTCGCGAAATACAAGCAGAATGCATTGTTAAACAGCTGCCGTTGCCGATATAATATGCGAAATAGCTGATATAATACAATATATGAAAGAGTATTGATGCGTTGATTTGCAGTTGCGACTGTCCACCCGGATACGAGGGCCTCAGATGCGAAGCAAACGTCGACGACTGTGCCGGCCACAAGTGCGTCAACAACGCGAGCTGCGTCGACCTTATCCAGGCCTACAGATGCGACTGCCTACCGGGATACAGCGGCCAGTACTGCGAGACAAAAGTACCCTTTTGCTCAAAGGAACACAATCCTTGCCGAAACGGAGCCAAGTGCGTCGAGCAAGCAGGCAACTACAGCTGCGAGTGCCCCCAGGGCTTTCAGGGCGTCAATTGCACCGATAATATCGACGAGTGCGATAATCATCTATGCCAGGTACGCGTGCCTTTCACATTGCAGAAATTAGATTAAGCCGACGAGAAAGAGAGATGCTTCGAAGGACCGTTACACGCGTGAGAGAATTATGCCATGGAAATCGAAGCCTAAAGGTAGACGTACTGGGCGCAGAATCCGCGTAAGCCCGGTTAATTTTATTAAGACGTCTTGTCTCGTTCGACTGCAATAACATTAGCCGAGAATTTGGCACCAATGCGACGCGGAAAAAGTGACTGCTCGCATGCACGCGCATACGTATGAGTCAAATATAAATCTGCCCAAGGACAAAGGAGCACAATTTTCTTTTTCTTCTTCTTCTCGAGGCGTGCGAAATCACACTGCTCAATCAGCACTTCTTTTCAACGTCGTAAAAGTGGAGAATAGTTTTTTTTTTGCCCTCCTGCCGTGTAAGCCACTTTTTCGCGCAAAGTCTGACCGGTAGTAAAACTTTAACACTCACACACATACATACGCGAAGAGAGATGTACAGGTACATGTGCCGGCATACATGTGGTGCGAGTAAGAGAAAGAAAAATTGAAGTGGTTGCGCGGCGTAGACTTTTAAATCGTAAGCGGGCAAATAACGATGTTAACGAACGGCTTTGAGAGATTTGCGCGCTCATTAAATTACTATTAGCGCAGCAGAGAGCCCAAGATGAAATAGAAGATTGAGCTTGTCTTAAAGATAGCCTATACACGTATATATGTACACCGCTGACTCGCGTGAGTAAAGTTGATTAAATGTACAGCTCGATAAGCAAGCAAGCGAGGGAGAGAGGCTGTTTCGTCGTCGATTTTTTTCTTTTTTTTTTTTTTTTTAAGATCACCACGAGAAGCTAGCTGTAGTGCAGCTCCGGCTGGCTTTTCCCCTTTTACAATCTGTGCGATCGCTTTGCGATTTAACATCGGCTGCTCTCGAGATAGCCATCTCTTCCTCCTCTATACAGAGTCTCGGTACATGCAACATAGATACGTGTATATATACGATTACAGCTGCAATCCGACAAGATGAAAATTAAACGTCGACGTGATTCGAGCAATTTTTCAATTTTGTCCAATTATGACTTGACTTTTGCAGAACGGTGCTACGTGCATCGATGGCATAAACAATTACGAGTGCAAGTGCGCGCCAGATTATACAGGGAGGTACTGCGAAGTTGCACCATCAACTGCCTTACTATACCCTCAAACTAGTCCGTGTGCTCATCATGACTGCAAACATGGTGCTTGTTTCCTACCATCGCCGGGCTCTGGAGCGGATTACCTCTGCCAGTGCCATCCTGGATACACTGGTAAGTCCTTGCGGGAGCTGCCTTGCCAGACTGCGCGTGACTTTTTCATTTCTTAAGCGCGACTGCTGTGGCTGCTTCTTACCTCCCCCTGTGGAATAACTTCCGATATTGCTGATACATTATGGATGCGCGCGAAATCAGTTTCGAGTCTTGAACTTTACATCGACGAAAGAAGGAGACGTAAAGAAAAAAGCGTAACGGAGGAAAAAAGCGACTAGTCGGTTAAGTTTGTAAAGCCGTAGGCGATTTTTTCCTCTTTGCGCGCTCGGGCAAACTTCGTCACCGCACGTGTCAGAGCCTTTAAAAAGCCATTCATTTTGCTATTTATTTGCCCTCGTGGCGCAGCACTTGGCCGTGCGCTACAAGCCCCGCGTATGCACTCTGCCTATACACTGGCGGCTCTCGAGCTCGCGCGCGATAAACTTTTACTACACACCTCTCGGCAACATCGTTGAAAAAGAAAAAGAAGCACTGACCTCTCTGCGTTGTGCTTCATTCATGCTTATCGGTAAAAGTATTGGCTTTTTTGTTACAAACCCTAGTCTCGTACGCGTACCGCTAATACGTACATCGGTCATCCATCACATGTAGCAGCACTTTATGATGTCGATGTTGCGGAATAAAGAAAAAACGTTTTGTTGCTTAGGCAAAAGGTGTGAGTACATGACGAGTCTGAGCTTCACGGAGAACAACTCGCTGGTCGAGTTGGAGCCACTTCGCATGAGGCCCGAGGCAAACGTGACGATTATTTTTACGACGGAGCAAGAGAACGGAGTGCTGCTGTACGACGGCAACGGGGTGGCGGCGGGCGGCGAGCATCTGGCCGTCGAGCTGTTCAACGGACGGGTGCGCGTCTCCTACGACGTGGGCAATTACCCGACCTCGACCATGTACAGCTACGAGCAGGTGAGCGACGGCAAGCCCCATATGGCCGAGCTGCTGGCCGTCAAGAAGAACTTCACCATGCGGATCGACGGCGGACCGGCCCGCAGCATCATCAACGACGGACCGAAAGATTATTTAAAGCTCAAAGAGCCCATGTACATCGGGGGCGTTGCCACGGATACTGCCCAAGTCGCATTTACCGAATTCCATTTACGCAACATTACCAGCTTTCAGGGTGAGTATCGCGCAGTTCTAGCCTCTATGTGTATACGTTGCTTGCGTATAGCTTCCTTTCTCACTCGTACGCCTCACCTATACCGTATACACAATATGTAAGCGCGAGGCACTTGCCAGACGCGACTCCGCACACCTATCCTGCGTACACAGAGAGCTATATAGACCGAGCAGCTGTAAGGTACATTGACTTTCGCGACTGCTGCGCTATTACTGCTACTACCTAGTGCTAGGAGCGAGTCATATTGCCAGCGCCGCTCGAGCACTGATACGGTTGCGCCTCGTCGTCGTCGGTGCCGTTGCCAAGGCACAGATTGTACCATTATTCTTTGAAACGCTTCGAGAGACACACCGACTTAATTGAATTTGTGAGCTGACGCTCTCTTTCGCTCGCTCTCCCGCCTTTTCCTCCTCGCTTTTCCTCCTTCCACTCGGCATACAATGCATTTCTACCCTTGTGCAATAAAAAACGATACTTACGTAAGGCGCAATTTCCGCGTCTCTGCCCGACAGGTTGCATATCAGAAATGTGGATCAATCACAAGCTGGTGGACTTTAGTAATGCGGCTAAGATGAGCGGCGTGAGTCCAGGCTGCAGCGCCGCGATACGCGATCCGGACGACGACGAAGAGGCCGACGAGGCCAAGGATAAAAATAATAACAACAACAATAATGCCAACGAAGACGAGGACAACGAGACGATGCAAGTGGACAAGGTGGATCAGCATCAGCATCAGCAGCAGCAGCTGGTGGTGCCGGGGACGAGCTCGCATCGGCACGCCGGCGCTCGAGAGCAGCACGCGGACTTTGCGGTGCTGTCGACCTCGAGCAACATCGATCCCTGCATGAGGCACGAGTGCAAGAAAGGCTCGAGCTGCGAGCCGGCTCCCTTCGGCACCGGCTACACCTGCAAGTGCCAGATCGGCTGGCAGGGCCGCTACTGCGAGAAGGCGCCGACCTGCCGCAAGGAGCACATACGCGAGTATTACACGGCCAACGGCTGTCGAAGCCGACGGCCCGTCAAGCTCGCCAAGTGCTGGGGTAGCTGTGGCAACTCGTGCTGTCTGCCGCGCAAGACCAAGAGACGCAAGGTAAGCTCGAATAAACAATTTTAATAATTAACTTGAAAAAAAAAACAAAAAAAAGAAGTTGATACGATACATACAACAAGGAGAAATTAGTACGACGTCACGTTTCGTTTTGTCGACAGATTCGGCTGATCTGCAACGACGGCACACGCTACACCAAGGACGTCGATCTCGTGCGCAAGTGCACGTGCACGCGCAAGTGCTACTAAACGTCGTTTACCATCCTCGGCATAGTCCTCGTGCGAGATCTGCAATTCGCCAGCAGCGCATATCATATTCCACGCAGCGTGTAATCCCGCATACGTAAGCGAAAATTTCGCACGCCCATCCTGCGAACGTATAGCACTTAAATATATAGCTATATGTAGCATGTGTATCTGTCTGTGTGTTGTATGGAGAAGCGGGAGAGTTGCTGCACGCGTCTGTGTGTTGTAAACGCGCACCGCTATAATACGAGACGCAACGCGTTTACTCGTCGCAGTCTTCGATGATATTTATTATAATGCCCGAGAGTATGGAGAAGAAACACTGCAAAAGCCGGCAATAACGTAATATTGCAGCAGCGCCTGTGCACGTGATATCTTTATATTCTCAGCTAAGCAAACGTCGTTGCCGCCGCCGCCGATATTGTCTATAACGCGTTGGAATCGAGCTATATTGCCTAATTATCATTATTATTATCATAACGAATCATCGCATCGCAGATAAGGGAGAAAAGAAGAGATACTCAAGCCCGGACCATCCCCGTCGTTCCCCCATCGTCTCTCGCCACAGCCACAGCCCTATACATATAGCTCAGCGCCGCGCGACTACTTTATTATTATCCATATACACCACGTATGCAGCTTTTATATACGTGTATGCTCGCATGTATGTATGTATGCCAGAACGATATACGTGCATTACGCGCGCGCACGAGCGTATATAATGCAAAGGAGTGTGACGATGTGTTCGTATATGCGTAAGTTAAATTCTCGGCTCGTCCCGCGTAATCATGCCTCCTCCCATTTTCATCCCCCAAGTGCGCCTGATGCACTGTCATATATAATGACAAGAGTGAGAGACAGTGTGCAAGTGAGAGAGAAAGAGAGAGAGAGAGGGAATGTGTCTGGGATATGTTTATCATATGCTGGAACAGCGCGCTGCGTTTATACCTATATGATAAGCGACCGTACGGAATTTCGAAAATGCCACAGACACCGAGGATAATGTATATGCCTGATGCAAGTATGTGTGTGAGTGCGAGTGTGCGTGCTGTGCGTGTTTTGGTGCGTCGAGGGCCGAGAGAGCCGAGAGAGCTGAGAGAGCCGGCAACAAATGGATTAAGTTTCGCTCGGATCAAGCGCGGATTTCACGGCAAATTGCGCGGTAATCGTTTGATGGTCCTCCAGCCGAACGTATGCGGTTAGGCTAGAGCTTCGCTCGTGCTCTGCTTATGTGCACTTCGGGCATTGTTGCTTTAACAGCGCCGCGCCGCAACAGACGTTCTCGAGCGATTATTTTTTTTTTTACCTACCTTCTCTATCAAGCTGCTTCCTTCAAAACGACTTAATGTCGCGTAATTGGCATCGAACGCACGACCTTTGCGCACTCTTTAATCTGCAACAGGGGGGGCGGAGACAGCTTGGTATGCAAAACAACGGAGAAAAAAAGCTACTGAAAGTCTCTAATGGACGGAAGCTCGCGTGAGCAGAGCCTCGAATGCAGTCGCCTATCAACGTGCGCATAATTATTAACACGTAGAAGAAAAAAAAGCTCGCTTCCCTCCTGCAGACGACGACGCCAGGAAAACTCCCGCCGACATTCACTCGGTGCGGGCTAAAGCTCGGCAAAAACAATCTTAATGGAGAGCCCGAAGACGAGGACAAAAAAGCCAATGACGAATTGATCACGCGTTCCGTGCGCTATACGTGTATACGCGTACTGCGGCTCGTTGTTGTTTTTTTTTGTTCACCTCTCGGACTTGACGAGTCGCGATAGGGTGCGCCCCTCAAATCTTTTATTTATGGCAAAGTGAAACGTAATGATTCGAACTAATACTCGTCGCTGAACTTGTTTTTCTTTTCTTTTTTTTTCGAAAGAAAGAGAGTGAATCACGAGGCTATAAGAAAACTTGACTCGCGGTAAATAACTAGTATACACCACTTACGTACATTTGTAAACTCGAATAATAATTTCCTATTCATGAGTCCGTAACAGCAGAGTTGACTGAACTTATAATGCCGATTATTACGCGTACACATTGTACGATTATTCTACAACTGCCATAAATGAACTTTTCCGGCTAGAGCGTAGGCACGTATTTTATATGCGCATGTACGTACGCATAAGTGCTACCGAGTTGAAATATTTCGGGATGACTTTGCGAGAAAAAAATCCAATGCGAGGTGTTGTTTTGTGTTTCGCACCTGCGTCACGGGTGAGTTGTATGTACACAAATATGCGCACGTTTTATGGCCTGAAATTAACATTTGTGACGTTCGCTCAGGACATCGGCCCTCGAAGTATTTTCAAACTACTACACAGCCGCAAACCTAGATTTTGTATGCGCCCGAGTCCTCGTAGCCAAATTACTCGTTATCGAAAATTTATAACGTATTCATTTTTTTTATTGATTAAATAATGGTAATACGTAACACGCACTCTTTAATTTGCGAGCTCGGCATAATTTATACTCGGTGTAGCCGATCGGAAAATTTATATACGAAACAATAACCGACGAAATGAAATATGCGCCCTCACGTGTGCGAATGTATCGTCTGGCATATTTCCTATAAACCCCCACCCCCCTTCCCTTGTACATACATATAATAATAATAACCGACGTAGGCTTTGCACGGGCCTATGCGCTGAGTGGGCTATCGCACGCTGTTTACATTTACACGCGTAGCAGGTAAATTTTTTGCCATGATACAGAAAAAAATAAAACTTTTTATACCAAATATCATTGTTAAATTTTATGCACATTCGAAATGTCTCGGTGCGCGTTGAATGAACAGCGTCCGTAGCACCACTCGAGAGGCGAGCATGCAGGAGTAAAAAATTGAGATATTAAAGAAATTAATATGTTATATGGACGAAACATAACTCATAAGTTATCGATAAATAATCTACAACAAGTACAAGTTAATAAAAAAGAGTATCGATCGCCTAGTGTTTGTATTTAATATTTAAGATAATGAAAAATTTTAACGAATGAATAAAAGAGTATGAGACTTTCCTTTTTACTGCGCAATCTTAATCGTGTTACGCACGAACGAAACAAGGTAAACAAATAAAACGAGAAATATTCGTGCTTGCGACGCCTGTAGGCAGACTTGCCTTTCTACGCGTAAGCTGAGAAAAAAGCAAGTTTCATGCAAGCGCGAATACCCTCGGCTCGTTGGACTATTTTAAATCGATAGACTCTTTGAATGAATAAAAATAAACAACAAATGAACAAGGAATTAAAAAAACGTTTATATGTGTAAATGTGTATGAATAATGTAAACGGTGACCCATGATGGGTTCGAATGTATTTTAACTTCTAATCATTTCCTAATCTTTGTTTTTTTTTGTAATTAATTTTTTTATAATATGTTCATGCAAATGATGGAAATGTAGGACGATGCTTTGAAATTTTTATATTCCTATTATCTTTTAAAGATAATAGTTGACGTATTTTTAGATTATGGAAATTGTAAGTCAATGACCTATGCCATTTATTGAATGCTCAGTTTTTTTATTTCGTAAACATTTATCGAGCATTTTGTGTATTTTTATTTTATATATTTATTTTTATCAAGTCGAACGTTGCAGTATTCATGAGATTACGCAATAATATCTTAATTTTAAGTGGTCGAACCACGACCTTTTGCGGTACATGATCGAATGTTTGTGTGTGTAGTGAGAAAAATCAAATCAAATCTACTTCAAAAACAATTAAAATAATTGTCATCGCCGTTATAAATGTTCATCGTTTAAAATATCAACATACTCTTTCATGCTGTGCAAACTATGGAACCAATAATAAGCAAATTTTTAGCATTCAACTGTAGATTTTTTAGAAGAAAGTAGAACAAATTGAAAACAGAAGTTTTTTTTATAAAACACGATAAATGTGTGCTTGTGTACATTCGTCAAAACGATAATAATATTAATATTAATAATAAAAATAATACTAGTTATATTATAATAATAATTAATTGTTGATGAAGAAAAGAAGGAAGGGAGGAAAAATCACGAAGAAACGTAAGAAGGTCTTCCTTCGTGGGTGCTTCGGTTCTCCAACATAAAATGAAACGTCACGTGTGCTTCATGCCTAATAATGATATATGATTATATTACATAAATATATATAGATAAATTTTTTATTCGATAAACGAAAACCCTCAATGAATGGCTACTCATGTATTCACTCCGCTCAAAATACCTAATACCGGCCAGAATTTTTGTAAAAAATAAATCTATAATAAAGAGTATATATACAATAACCTTACTTTGTGTTTTCAATTGTCAAAATACAACAACATCAATAGTACATGAAATGATTTTCTGTATTATTTATTCATTTTTTTCTATACAAATGAGTTAATAACTAATTATAAAATTATGGCTATATAAAATGTTTTATATAATTGTTCTCTCTGCGCTATGAATATCACAGGAATACATTTTCGTAAAAATCGCGTGAGCAATTTAAAATTGCGCGACAAAAACGTGTATTCGAGTTCGATGCGTCCACACAAAATGCGTCTCAAAGTGCACCTTGAATACTAATTGTATAAATGATTTGTTCGTTGGTACTCGAGTCAACGATGCTCTAACTCGAGTTGATTTTCGATTGAATTTTCGTAACGAAAGACGACGCTTGGCTATCACCTTTCCGCTTCGATAAGGCATGAATAACTTCGGAACCTGCGGGTAAAAAAATACATTTGAAATATTCGAAAAAATGTTTCTCGCGTCGGTATAGAGTCGACTCACTTTCGCTGGTCGGTCTTGAAAGTTTCATGTGAATTTGTGGCAATGCGTCGAAACCGTCGTGCGAATCGGTCTGTTGAATATCGCCAAACGACAAAAAGCACTCGGACAAAAATCTCGTTCTCAAAAAGTCCTTGTCTTTGATTTCGAATTGAATAACTGCGTTTTTCATTTTGCTCTGGTCGGAGGTCAATGGACTGAAACAAAGCAAAAGTTAGGGTAAGCTGGGTGGTGTGAGAAAAAGTCTGGGCACAGGTAAAAAAGGGATATAAGAAGTGTCGCGGCTGCACTTGGGCGGCGGCGTTCGTTAAAGATTAGAAAATTTGCGCAGTCGAATTCCTTGCGCGCGATGATGCGTGTTATTCGTTGCTAACATAACGTTTCAGCTTCTTTGAGTTATTCGACGCGTTTACCAAGCTGAAAACTTTGAAAGCTGAGCCAGCAGAATGTTGCCTTCTAGCAGGCGCGCACTACTCGTGTGTATGGGTAAGTGAAGGAGCACACACAGTCGCGTAATCTATATGCGCGCTTGCAAGCTCTTATGGTATTAAAGCTGTGTACACAGGCACAGAGCCGCGTGCGCAGACACTTACATGCTAAAACTTTCTTCGTAAAGTGGAAATTGCGTCTCCTTGCGCACGTTCGTCTTGAATGTCTTCATACCGATGAATACGTCTTCGGGAAGCAGTCGGATTTTAACGTACGTATCGCATTTCTCTGCAACGAGAAGGAAAAAGAAACGATGAGGCAGATGACAAGGGATCTTGCGAAAAGTCAGAAATTTTATTTTCTCTCGTCGTTGTCGGACGGATGCTTACTGTCGATGGCTCGCAGATTCCGGGCATTGAGGATCTGCAGGTTCAGCAGATCGTTGAAAAAATACGCCTTGACCGTGAGTAATCCGTAAGGCTCGTCTTGCATGACGGACTGCACGGCCAGCCTGTCCTGATAATAGCGCAATATGAGCTCGCCCGTCTCTAATCCGTACAGGCCGAGGGTTTTCTCGATGCGCTCGAGCACTTGGACGTTGGCGAGCTCGTCGGCGCCGAGATTGAAAAATTGAATGAGATTATTGAGAGTCTGATGGAGATTCGAGTAGAAAGCCGGTGGACGTTTTCGCTGCAAAACAAAAGTTTAACAAAAACAATGTGCTGCCGAGCTATTGCAATAACATTATGTATACGAGAGTAAGAAAGAGATAGAGCGAGTCGGAAAAGTCGGAATTGCAAAATGTACCCTCAGGTTGCTGTTAACGAGTTGGTTTAGAACCTCGGCCATCACTTCCCAAATGACCATTAGAATGCGTTGAAAGTTGTCCTCGCTCAGATTGTCGTGGAGAGTAATGAGATTCGAGTCCAAATACTCCATTAATCTGTCCATCGAATTACTGCTGTTGGCGTCGTGCTGCTGCTGGTGCTCGGCGCCTTCCATTAGATACCTACGCAATACAAATTAAACCTACTAGTCGCAAATTCTATTTCCAGTCGCAGTATAAGCGCAAAGTAGCGAGAGGCTCGCATTATCGATCGCAGCGGCCAGACGACGCGCAAGCCACAACAACGTTATCGCAGAAATTACCTGGCCATGGCGGGTGCCATTCTTTTGGCGACCGTCTCCTGCATCGTTATTATCTTGTTCCTCACCGTATCCTTGGCATTGTCGATGATGAGCTCGAGGGTCTGTTGGCAGCGCTCGGCTTCGATTTGGCTCTTGGTCTCGGCCAGCGCCTCGATGACGCTCTCGAAGCCGAGATCTTTGGTGAGTGGCTCGATCGACGTCCTCACGTATTCGATATTGTTGAGGGCGTAGCACCAAGCCACCGAGACGTCGTACTGTTGGCCGAAGAGATTAGGCCTCGAGAGGTTGCTGTCGGCGTCCCGGATCTCTTGGAGCTCGTCGACCTTCTGCGACATTCGATCGACGTACGCGATGCAGCACTTGCAAATGTCCTGCGAGCAGAGTTTCATCGTTCTTTTAAATCTTGTTCTGCCTTGTTTTTTTGTACAAAAAATTGCTTTTTTTTATACTTACGTCGACGATTTTGGCGATAAATGCGTAGGCTCCCTCGATGTCGGGCCAAGCGAGCTGCGTCCAGAAAACCTTGATTTGGTAGAAAATCGTGAGGGTGTCGACGGCACTGGAACTGTACTGGACGCTCGAGTCGACCGGTTGGAGCTTGTCAACCTCGATGGCCCGATCGATGCGCTTGATTGCCTTAAAAACTGCCATCTCCAGCCAGTGAGAGACACCCGAGGCGAACCAGTCGTAGTAGTTGCGAACTTTCATTTGCTCTATCTCGTCCGGGCAGACTTTTTCCCCAAATCTGCGTCACACGCGATACACATGTATAGAGATTTTTGTGTTGCCCGAGTCGCTTATTAAATTATAATAGCGATGGAAACAAGAGGAATAGACGCGATACGAGAAAGAAGAAAAAAAAAGAAAGAGTTGGACCAGAAAGAGACAAACTTACTCGGCGAATCGCTGTATAGCCAGATAGAGCTCGAAGAGCGAAGTGCCCAAACTTAGCTCGGGATTCTCCGAAGTTTCGATCTCGATTCTCTTCAGTCTGCCGCAAATGTCCTCGACGATGACCATGCAGAGGTCGCTTATTCGCTTCTCGTACGTGCGGTAGAGAACTTTGGTGTAGGGAAAGTCGATCGTCTTGATGAAGAGTTTTTCGTATATCTCGCTCGCCCGAGTCAAGTCAATTTTAATCAGCTGAATAATTTTGATGTGATACTTGATGGCTTCCTCGTCCGTGTCGCTCTCCATGTTGTTGTTGGAAACTATATACTCGAACCTGGCGGCATACATACGTATACGTATACAGAGAGGGGGGGCATAATTATATATGTGCGAGTATACACGAGTGCTAGTGCAAATAGGATGGGAAAAGCCAGTGCCAGCGACGTCATAATCATCATTGCGTATAAAGTTCAATTTAAAGTTTCTCCAAAGTATATGAACTCGGCTGGCAAAGTTGAAAGTATAATTGCATTCAAAATAGTATTACCATTCAGCTCCGCCGCGAATTACGGCGAATTCCAGCGCCTCGAGGATACTAACTCGGTCGTCCTCCAAAATCTCCGGTGGAAACCATGAATACATTTTCAATGGGAACAAATTTACATTCTCTGGCACTTCGAGAGACGACAGGCACGAAATAATTCTGTGGTGGAAGAGAGACAGAGAAGAGAAAAAAATTAGACATTTACAATGATTCAATTCGATTATCCGAGATTGCACGAGCGCGTAATCGGATTCATTTTTCTTCGGTCGAGCGTAAAGTGCTGAAGCAAAAAAAAAAAATCGGATACTTGCCGGTTCAGTCGAGTCTCTCTCTCTCTCTTTCGAGGCTCTTTAAAGCATGTTAGAATCGAGGCGAGTAATTAAAATCCAAACGCGCAATTATTTCTAAGCTTTAATTAAACCGCAAAACACGTCAAAATTTCTCCGCAGGCGCTCGAGAGCGCCGCGTGTTTAGCGCGTTACCGTGAATTGCCTATATATTGCCACTTGAGAGCCGCAAACACTTGGTTGGAAACATTCCCCCTGCACGCGCAGCCGCGCTTTTGTAGCAGGCTGCAGTGTATATGTATATAGGCCCGTGCACCGCGCACACACAAGAGTAAACGACGACGAAAACGAGCGGAGCGCTTATCTTGACAGTAGCTATGTAGAGCTGCACGAGAGCACATTATACATACTAGACTTTGACTAGAGGCGCGTCGCGAACTTGATTTTTCACTTTTCGAGTCATCGACCGTATCGAGCCTAGCTGCACATAGAGTGCGGGTAGGTGTACCTATAGGTAGATGACTACTTGCCTAAGAATAGCGACGAGCTGCTTCACCACCGCCTTATTGTCGCAGGCGAGTCTGCGTATCTTGCGCAACGCGTTCAGTCCCGAGTGCAGGCTCTTGCGCGTCGCCTCCCAGAACTGCTTGAGCTCGTCGTCGCTGTACATGCCCGACTTGATGGACGCCCGGATGTCCTGGACGAGCTCGTGGAACAGCTCGAAGTTGAGCGGGTGCTCCTGGTGGACGTTGGAGCACTCGATCCACTTGGCCAGGGCTTGGATCTCGGGCTTGAGGCCGCGCTGGGCCGCGTGCTGCATCAGCACGATCGAGCCCGCCGTGGGCCAGCTGCCCAGCTGCCAGGTGTACTTCTCCACCTTGTTCGACTCGAGCTCGTGCAGCAGCAGAATGCGGATGAGGTGGCGGTGCTCCTGGAATGCGACCTGGGCGTTGTGCTCCGAGCTGAACGACATCCGCAGCCGGATGTGACCGCGCAGTTTGCTCTTGCCCCGCTTCTCGAGGGTGTACCAGTTCACGTGGCCGACCACTGGGATATCCTGCGATACGCACACTCTTATACTTTACTCCTACTTTTTTTACTTTTTTTAGTCAGCCGATCGTATCGCGATTATACTCACCTTCAAAGGTATTCGGATGCTTCCAATGAACTCGTTGTCGTGGTTGCCGTTTCTGGCCGTTACGGCGATCTCTTTGGCTAGCTTTACTAAGCCTCGGACGCTCTTGATCGTCTTGACTTTGTTGATCTTTTCCGGCACCGTTTCGGCCGCGTCAAAGTCCCAAACTTCGACGAACAGCACGTCATTTTCCGGATCTTCGAGGGGTCTGAAAAAAAAAACAATACGAAGCACAATCAGCCAACGAGTAACGATTTGCGCGAAAGACCAACGAGATGCCGCGGGTTAAATTGTACGTACAAAGCGAAATGCTCTTGCCAGACAGGTGTCAAGGTCTCGGGCTTAACGGCCGTGTTGTATCTCTTGGTCGGCTGCGATTCCAGATATAGCACGCAAAATGGGTCGCTTTTCCCATTGGCATCCTTGGGCACCAGATCTTTGGCCTCTATGACTTCTATATTTAAGTGTATCTCCGGTGCCTGTGTTGGCGCGAAAATATGCATTAGTCAGTCGCGTGTAAATGCGAGAGCAAATTTTACGCATACGACACTCGAGAATTGGCTCGGCTTTTGCCAACGTATTGCGATACGAGCGATACAAGCCGTGTTGGGTCAAACTCACCTCCATCTGGCGGGTCTCGTCCATGACTCTCGCGTGCGTCTCATCGTCGATATTGAACGCCTTCTGTAAATAATTGATAATCGCGTCCTGTTCCACTTGATCGACCACGTCGAGGCCGATCGGGTGCTGCGTTATGTACAGCAGGGCAGTGTACAGCTCCTCGATCTGCGAAATAAAAGACAGAATCGGCCAATTACCATCTCGTCCGAGCTTGCACTTCCCAGAAATAGCCGGAAGTCGATATAATATTTTCACTCTACCGTTCGCATATCGCGTCGATGTATTATTTTATTCGCGAAACGTGCCCAACTTTGGGAAAAGTAGCTAAGCAATAAGTAGGTTATCGAAATATGCGACGACTTTTCGTAAATACAGTCTCGTATTTTCGTGCGCTCTTTCGGCCAGCCAGTCTTCAACTGCGGTCAAACATCAAAACAGCAGAAAAAGTCGAAAAATTCGTTCCGTGTGTTACTGGTTCACGGTGCGACTGGAGATTTTATGACAACAGTCGTGAGCTCGAGCTCGCAATTTTATTTTGACCCTTTGTATTTGTGTTGTTTAGCAGAAAACATATTCACATCTCGAGTTGTTCTTTATCCGAGAATTTCGATACAGCGGGTCCTTTCATAAAAACATTTACTTATGGTGTATAAAAAATAAGTACCTATACGCAGCGACTTGAAAATAGCTGTTCATGTATCGCGTACAATATACAATTATAACATCTAACGATGAAAAAAAATGCCTGCAGACTCTTGCGACGCGCTTATGAAAGGCGATGCGAAGCGCAGCTTAACAAGTGCACTATTCACTTGTAAGCCTAGGCAAAGAGAGACATTCAATTGCAGTCGATCAATTAAATGCAGGCGTTCAAGCTAATGATCGTCGTCGTCGTCGTGGCGGTGCGCGTCCGCCTATCAATTTAAAAAAGCGTCGCAGTCGCGGACCGATGGCGAGAAACGAAAAGTCGACACTTGCCTCGAAGCGATTCCCACGCCAGAGTCGCATTCTGTTACGATTTGCTGCTCTTCGCTGATTATATCTCTTTGATGCGTCGTTATCGAGGCGCTTAGGAGCTACGGTGATGCTGGCGACCGACGTTGCCGCGTCGATACTCCGAGCCTCGCGATGCGGGACATTTTTCGACGTTACCAGCGACTTTTCCCGCGAAAGATTTTCCAGATCGATGCTTTGCTGCTGCTGCTGCTGTCGCTGCCTCTGTTGGCGCACCGGCAGATGCGCCTTTTCCGAGTTATAGCTATCGCTGCGGGTGTGGGTGCCGCTTCTAGATGCTCCACTTTGATGCACTTTCGCTGTACGCGACGAGCACATATTCATATTCACGCACATACGCATGCAGTCGTGCAGCATGTGTGCTCGGGGTAAATGTATTTTTTTCCACGATAGGCAGAGGTTTAACTTTTTCATATATGCGCGAGTGCGCGATTTTATGCGCTCCGGGAGATTCGATGTTTACGATACGGCTCGCGCGCGCTCCTCTCCTATAAAACGACCCGCTAAAATGCGCACCTTTTACGATTATAAATTCGCTCGGATTTCCAGCTATTCTCGCGAGCACGCCATCTCGCTGATTATTGAAAGTATAAAAAAAATGACGACTGCGAAAAACGCGTGTCGATTTTCGCTTGAAAGTGAGAAATACTTGGACAGAAAAGCCGGGAAACGTTTCGAAACGCGTGCGCGCTAGCCGAGTGCCCTTGACTCCAAGTTAGAAACTTTATAAATACATCCGCGAACGATGCTGCGCATCCAATTTTCTTTAATCTGCGTATCTATAAAAACCAGAGTTAAAGAACAATTGAGCCGCTGCGCGTCTCGATGATAAAGTGTTTCGACGTTTCGATACGGTTTTCATCATTGTGCATTGCAACAAGTTGCCTCGATAAAATTCCAGCAGTGCACGAAATTTATTCAACGCGCCGCATTGATGATGCTTATCGAATCGAATGTTTATGTTAACGGGTGGTGAGAAAACGAAAACGAGAGAGAAATTGATTAAACAATCAACGAACACGTGACAGATATGCTAGCTGCCAAGCTAACGGAAAAAAAATCATCGAAATAATCGTAAACATCGAATCCGAAGTACGAGGCTGATGCTAATTTGGCTTCGACAATATTTTTCACGCACATTTGTTTTTCAGAGCTTCGCACAAACAATCTAGGCACATTTCCGACAACTGTCATTCTCACTGCGCACAAGAGGAGGCGGCGAACGACGATGTTTCAAGTGTCTCGAAAACGGACCACGCACCCACGCACCGTCCACTGTGCCGCACGAAAAAAGCTCGGGGCGATGAAGCGTCGAAGAAATGCACGAGCCAACGAGACGCACTGCCACTGAGAAATTGCAGAGCGCATCGACGATCGAACTTCGACCGGTGTGTCGCTTTCGAATGGCGGTCGAAGCAGCGCGTGCTGTATGCTAAGTGTAAGGTCAGAAACGGTAGATGCAAAAAAGCTCGACTTTGAACGCGCGTGTGCGCGAAAAAGGCGAGAAGGAGAGAAAGAACAAGAAGAACGAGAAAGAGAAAGAGAACGAGATAAGCGAGTACATAAGTGTGCGGCAGACCGGCGAAAAGCAACTGTGCGTGCATACAGGAATAGCCGAGGCATATTGGCCATTCGGATGCTTCTTCTTTTGAGACAGAGAAAGAAATATATAAAGCAACGGCCGCGCGCATACGCGCACACATAGTTACGAGCGCGCACGAATACGAGCCGCACACCAGCTTTGGACTGCCTATACGTGTATAGTACGTGTATATACGTGAAGCGGTATAGTCGCCGTTGAAAGAGAGCACGACTGTTGTGCAAGCTTCGAGCCAATATACACGCGATCGCCTCGTTCTGGTCGCGCAGAACGACTGAAAGATGCTTGTTGCGCGCCCCAACCCAGTCGAAATTTTGATTTTGCCACGAAAAATACGTACGTCGGTAGCAAGCTGCGAGTCGACGCGCTAATATTCCCGAATACGACGACATTCGACGTTGTATGTTTTTTCCACCCATCAGTCTCGAGTGGCTCTCTTGAAACGAGCGTCAATATCACACGCCGCATTTATTATTTATATTATACATATACAGCCAGCTGTGTACGAGCTGAAAGCTCTCGAGGCTGATTTTCCAGCGATAATGCTGTTTCGTGTTTGAGCGCTAGCCTGATTTTACTGGCCGCTCCCTCGAGTTCGAAAAAGCTCCGAGCGATCAGGAGAAGTGCTCGACGGAATATATATGTGTATACAGCGCGTATATATTGGCAAGTGATCGCACCCCATATACGAGCGGCCTGTCGAGTCTTTGGGAAATTCGCGCAACTTGTCGAGTGAAGATTTCGGAAAATTTCAGTTCTAAAGTCAACTCTCACTCGTTGGCGTTGACTGCGCGGACCAAGATATCTGTATCAGTTGCAAGTTTAACATGTTGCGCTTGCTAAAAGTTTGCGGGCGATACTCAAAATTTTCGGCTTATAAAACTTTCCGTGCATGCTCTGGATAGGTGTGTAAGCGGCACGCGTGTAAGGTACCAAGCTCACGACTAATCCGCAAAATATCAAAGTCGAGGCTCGAGCTCGTTGATTTTCTTGCGAGGCTGAATATCACGCTGAAAGCTCGAGTGCCGTGTGCGTACAGACGATCACGCCGACGTGTTTGCGTAAACGAGCTTTATCTCTTGCTGTACAGTCGAACGCGTGCGTCGGCGAGGAATTAGAAAGAAAATAAACCATATGCTTGGCCGCGATGATTCAAGCTCGCACGCGCAAGGTTAAGGCCACCGCTGTAGAAGCTCGGCTCAATTTTTTTGTTTAACTCGTGCTAATTGTGCTTCGAGCTCGGCGTGGATCAAGAAAAAGCGATGCTATCGATTTGTCATAATGCGGCACGTAATTCGTAAGTGATATTTGTGCGTTCGGAGAAAATTTGTTGGCATTACTTACCGGCAGCCTCTTGCTACGAACTCTCACGACCAAATGACTCTTGGGCTTTTTTGGCTTATCGTCGCCGCGCACGAGGGCAAAAGCCTTGACAGAAGTCGAGAAAATCGGTACTAAAATCGGTTCGGTATGTCTGTTTGATTTCGCTGCCATACCACGCGAACAAAGGCACTACAAAGACTGGGCCGGAGTTGTTTATTTTATGCGCGCAGGCCATAATGGCAACTCGGCATCGCATCGCTTTCCAGCTCTGGCCAACGCTCGAACGTGCCTACTGCCATAACAACCAGACCATGTCAGAGTTATCCTGTGGGTGTGCAATGTACGCACATATACGTTTGGGTAAGTTACACACAGCGAGACATAGTCACGCACACGGGACGCCAAGTAGTCCCATTCTCTTAGGTAGGCATACGCACACACAATCAATAGTTTGGAAGGACGGAAAAGGGGCGCAAAAGCATAGAGTATCGCGTGATTCATCATTATGGCGTGCGCGAGTGTGTATAGGTGCGTTTGCTATAGGACGCGTGGAGACGGGTCGCGCGTTGCCCTCTGCTCATCCATGTATGAAGCGCTCCATTGTAATTTTTACGGAAAGAATAATGAGGCTCTGGCCGAGTGAAAAACAACAGCGCCGAGCGTCGAGTATTTACGATTTTCAATTTTTCGACTCGACTTTTTTCCCTGCCACTCGTTAATTTATCGCCCATAGCGGGGGAGGAAAAAAAAGAAGGAAAGAAAGAGAGAGATAGGTATAGGTATATATAGAATCGAGGGTAAAAAATTGAAAAAATGCAAAAACTGAAATCGACTGGGGAGTAAGCGAAGCGCAAAGAGTTAGCGCAGCGCAGGATCAAAGCTTGGCAGCTAGCTATCCAACTGGATATAGATATATATGTGTATGTATGTATATACGTGCGTATATACAGAGGTTATACGCATCTGACAGTGTATAACTAGCTCATCCGATCAGGCGTCTAATTGCCAGAGCCACGCGCTCGGAAACTTCAATCGAGATGTTGCTTTATAGAGAGGGCGGCTGGCTGGGTTACTGCTCTCACTCACTTCTCTTTCTCTCTCTCTGAAACGACGAGCGACGAGCAACGGCAAATGTTGGGCTCCCGCCCTGTTCTCGCCCACCGGCTTATATACATATGTATCAGCTGCTCGCGCGCTCTAGCAAGTAGCGATCGCTAATCTCTTTGACTACCTCGTCATAAGCTCACCCGTTCATATCTACCTTGGCTCCTTCTACCTTATACCAACTATCTCTTACATTATAACGATATAGATATACATATATATAACGAGTAGATTTGCACGCGGCTCGCATGTAATATACATGTAGCAATGGTGAGTGGTGGAAGGTATATAGCATAACATAGGCTGTACTCACGTTTAGACCAACGGATTGAGCAACTATGGCCAAAGCTGTCTCCTGCTCTTCCGTCTCGCTGTCTGTCTCGGGGCTGCTGCTGGGCTCGTAAGCTCGGCTCGGCTGGCGCTGCAAATTGCTCTTCTTGGCCGCGTAGCGCGCTCGTTTCGCCTCGTCCTCGCCATCGTCGCCCTGCTGCTGCTGCTCCTCCTCCGAGCACGAGTTATCCTCATCCTTCGCCGGCTGCAAAGTTTCCTCTTGGCGCTGCTCCTCCGCCCGGTCCGCGAGACGAGTGCCCAGTTTCTCGAAGAAGCCTCCGTCCTCCTCTTGCAACCTGTCTTGTTTCCGCATCGTCAGTGTATGATATGTAAAGCAGGCCAATGTTACGGAGCTCGGCGAATTTAGCTGTCTTTCGCGCCAGGGATATAAACGAAATCTCCGCGAATATCGACGTCGAAAAACAATTTCCAAAGACTTCCTACGTCACGCGTTTTATCCCGATCGATGTAAAAATATGTTAACATTTCGCGAGTATTTTTAGACTACATATTGTATACGCGCCAGCGTAAATCCTCGATCCGCTTGACACCACTCATATAAAAGTGATTAACTCGTCAATCGCAGCCAATAATGATCCTGTGCGCGCAAGTATCCGCGCATGTGTAGGTCAGACGAAGCTCGCGCGTTATTTTTTTTCTTTTTAAATTCTCTCTCTCTTTTTTTTCACGGAGAACGTGCTTCTCAGCCGTATTAATATGAAAATATTGTTGAAAAGGAATTTACGTAATAAATTATTCACCGATCGGTTTTACGTGCTATATATACATCTTTGCTTTAAGTGGACTCGATTAAAAATGAAAGGGACTACTTCATAAATAATTGTTACTGAAATTCGTGCGTTAAATATCTGGCCTGGCTTCGGCGAATTTTTCCGCATTTTCGTTATAACTGCACACATCGCACAATTTCCAAAATAAACGCTAAATTCGGGCATATATTTTTTATAATAAAACCTGCCCGAATTTCAAAGAGTTTCACTAAAAAAAAACACATGATCTAATTGGTCGTATTGCTGCAAAATCTAAATATAAAACTCTTTTTATGCTTGCAGAGAACCACACACCTCTCGTCGCACGAAACGCGGAACAAAGCACACTCTAATTTCAACGTAGCTCCCTGTGTTTTGCGTTATCAGCCGTGTAATCACAATTAATAGGCAAGTACCGGACCCAGCGAAAATTGTCACCGTTTATAGATATCCATTTGAAAAGAAAAGGAATGATATTTACACTCGACAAGTGGACAGAAATGCGCTCGTCCAATCACTAAGCTTTCTCATTACGCTCCTCGACGAATCGGCGGCTCCAATAATCTCGTGCGGCTTATAGAAAAAAAACCAATTGTAATGACACTGACGGCTATCGCGCACGAAATGTACAGAGTGTCCGCACCTCCGTCTATATAAACCTCGGAGTTTTTTCAACGGCGCACATGTGCCGATGTATCGTCGCGATCATTCGGTAATGACTGAATCGGAGCCTCGCTCGCGTCGCGCGTCAAATCGCTCTCCGTAAAGGCTGCGATTTTTTTTTCTTTTCTTCAAATATTGTCTATATCCCCACACGCGCGCCTTCTCGTGCGTTATTATATGCACAATCGTATCTTTGTCATACAGTCGGCCCGAAGAAAAGTATAACGCCGCCTATACATGACACGGGCTTTTCGCGTTTATTATATACACGTGCGAACGCGACTCACGGTGCTGGATGAATTATTGTCTTTTTCTTTTTTTTTTTTTTTTTTTTTTTACCAAGACCAAATAACGACCTACTGCCTGTGTAATGATGTATGCATGTGTACTAAATTAAGATCTTTGATAAGAAATGTGTACTCTTCGAAAAGCTTGTTTCGAATGTAAGCGTGAGATATGTGATGAAATCATCGTGAACTTCGAATGCGAGGTATTTAAATTCGTAATGAAGCGTAAAACAATGACCCGAAATCTTTTTCAATATATTTACGCATTGAATTGATACGGTCCTTTCTCAAATTCGATATGATTTCAACTGTCTCTATGAAGGACGCGCATGATGAAGAATGTTATACAGTGACACAAAGAAAATAAACAACCTTAACAAAATTTACGGCAACGATGAAAAACATTACTATATAACATGGTCATCGCTATTACTCAAAAATATTTTAACACATTTTT